TAAGTACAGAAATCGCATGGTCTCATTTAAAAAAGAAAGAACTCTTCGGATATTAAATTACTATCGCTCGGTATTCGAATGCTCGTAGTGCCTGTGACCGCATTAATCAACCTGACCAAGTTAACTTAACGGCAGCACAAAGTACGTTTATGAAAGTAAAGAAGGAACAATCTGGCGAAAAAAAAAGGAGGCAATAAAGCTGACTATGAAACGTTGGCCAGACAGATTGGGATCCGAGACGAGAGAAATGGGCATTTGAAGAGATCGGTATATTGGATAAATAGGATAGACTAGATAGGTCCACTACCTCATCAAATTTTTAACGGGTGCTTTAATTCATACTAATACAATTAGGGACAATTAAGGGTCTGTGGAACCCTATTGTTAAAACCATACCTTCAAAAGTACACTTTTTCCTACAAAACATATATTTACTTCAGCACTTTTTTGCGCAACTCTCTTGGAGTTAGAATTGCCTTACTGAACTGGCTATACCGTATACAGGCTAGTGCTTCACATTCACAAGTCCTCATGTTTCTATTTCTGCTTTCTCTATCTTATTAAGTGGTCATTAAGAGGGCAGAGGCCAGTATGAGACCTTGTCTTATGAGGGACAGGAACACGTTCTCGTTCCTTTTCACAGATTTAAAAATCCCTTAGCTTTCCTTCTATCTAAAGCTTTCGTCCAATTCTTGGGTTTTTCTTTGTCAAGCCATTTTTCTAGCTTTAACGATATAGCGCTCTCTGGTGCGCTTAATTGTGATGGAGAATAGAGATGGGCTTCGGAGTAAAAAGCCAGACAGTAGTATTCACAGAATCCTCTGAACATTAGGGCACGATGTATGCAGCTTGCACAGGTGGTGGAAAATAGTAGCAGCAATCGAAACCGTCGGAGCAAAGTACAGACGTCATCTTTTGGTATGTTTTTGGTGATTACAGACTGGATTATCCCAGATGATGAGGGAAAGGATTTTTGCTGAAAGGAGTCCCGCACGCCGAGAGAAGCGATCGTTTTTCCCCCATTTTATCAAAACTTAAAGATATATTCTAGCGTTACTTGGGAAACAAAGTTTACGTTCATCTACGCTTATTTATCTAGGAGTCAGTATTGCCAGTATTACGGTTTCCGGACCATTGCTCAATCCCTTTACATCCTGGTGCCCAGATGAAAGTTACTTCATTATGTTCATTTCCTAGGAGTGGAAGACATTTTCTGATAAGCCGTAAATTGAAGGTGGAAAAGTTTAAGGCCTACGGTGGTACTTGGGCATATCTGGGCCCCTTTTAATCATTTTAAGTATATATTGTACAAATTATTGTGTTCGGGGACCTCAGCTTCGCAAATTGATTGTGTGGTGCTTATAGTTTTCAGTAGATCATAATTTGTTTAAGTGCCTTTGTTTCATGACCCCATCTGTATGCCTGTTTCAAGGTTTTTATTCTTCTACATGAAAAATTATTTTAATTAATTTACCCTCTTTAATATTAACCGTTCCCATTGCCCTTGAGCTGAATAGCACTGCTCCGGTGTCTGCCTGGACATAACTCAGGTATCTTATAGGGTATTACAACCGGGTCTTCTGTGCAAGCTCAAGGGCGTCCTACCATCTACCTTTCTTTTTAAAGAGGGGTCGCAACTGCAGAGGTTATATCAACCCTCAGGGTGCAGGTGCTTTTGAAAAAAAAAAGATTTGTAAGTATGTCGGGTTCGAAAGCACGACTGCTGGATTCGAAACCTGAGACCTTTACCTTACAGTGATGAGCAATCATTGCGGCCACCGATGCTCTCTAACATCTACCCTATTCCTAAGTCCTACCTATGGACCTTCACTTCCAAACTGTACAAAAACCTTTCTTTTCCTCCGTTTACCCGATTTTCGTTGGTGTTCGACAGGAGAGCATATGTACTGGACCATCCCTTGCAACACGCCCTTTTGAGGGTCCGTGCAATAACCTTGTGTGCAAGTTGCGTGTTTAAAGTACAGTTGTAAATAAATAAATGAATTTAAAAAATAATTTTATTTTGTCAATCATTTTTGAGTGTATCATACATTTTTGTGTCTTTTTAAGTATTTTATGATGACATACTTTTAAATAGGGTTTTTCTTTCTCCGAAGATTCCGTTTAGAATGTCGTATGCTAAGTTGGGTTTAGCTAATAAACTGAATTATTTTCTTATATTTATTTTACTGCGTTCTCTTTGGGAGAACACGAAAAGATGGTTGTGAATGTATTGAAGAAACAACACAAAGTGTTGATCTTGTCAGCAAAGCTGCTGTGGAACTTTCAATTTTTGGTTATATTCGAGTTACCTATTTAATTAAAGTATAAATGGAATTTTCATGCTCATTAAGAATGTTATATTTCAGACTGGAGTTTGCTGTCACAGTAGAACATAATATTGTTGAATCTGTTATAAAGTGTTTTTTGGATCGAAGTTCAATTTAACACTTGGCGATGGTCATGCACACATAGGTGACACATCAATAAATATTTATGCGTCCCTTAATAAAATTATTTCGACTTGTTTAGATTCCAGTGTTATTTTCGTCCTGTTCTCATTTCCTAGAACGCGAATAAAATAATATTCCATTTATTTAGAACTGTTATGATTTTACCGGGAATAAACTAACAATACCACTAGATCCTAATTAAAAGGATTAAAGGAAACAAATTTTGAAAGATTTCATGGAAGGGCTACTATTGAAGACATAAAAATATTCTTGCCACCGTTTCAGTACTTTAAACTGTTTAAACGGCTCAAACCAGTCTATATGATAAGCAGACCTATTTAAAATTAATCGTCTCTTCGACACGCAGACATAAAAACATAGCACGGAGAGAAAACAATTGTGTTTTTAACTAAAAATCGTAGTCGATTCAATCGATTTTTAATTGATGAAAACCCAAGGCACGGGAAAACACTGGTTATCTGTTGCTTTGAATTATTTATACAGGTTCAGTTTTATAAGATCTCCGAGAACTATTTCCCAATTGAAAATGCAGATGTAAGAAATAAGTTCAGCTGATATAATTAGCTCCATCCAAATTTCAACGAATTAATCTTCACTCTATAACCAAAAACCAGTGTTTCAGCTCCTTTAATTAAGCCATTAAATTTTTTTTAAAAAAGCCTTTCGTGTCAAAGTATCACTATGAACTGCTCTTATTTAATTACCGAATTTTCAAAACGGCCCTTCAAATACTTTAACATGTAGTAAAAAAAATTACATTCTGTGAGATTTTAAACCAAATTATCTCGTTTTTGAGAGATAAATAACAAGGATTTATTTAACCCTTTCGCCTCGGAAATCAACTTTTTTCACGATAAAACAGCATTTGATAGCGTCTAATTATAAGTGATTGAATTATATCGAACTGTACATTACTCAAAGACAAAAACCGGACATTCAAATTTTGTTGTTTATTTTTACTGTATGTATTTTTATCATGATATTAATACCAACATACTTATTTTAATGTAAAATTAAAATGCAGCTAACTTATTTCATCTACTTTTGCCAGGAAATAAATTCTTAGTTAAATTCATTCTACCACTAAAACATTCACCGGTGGTTTTGTGAATTTTCTTTCGAGTCATCAGAATGAACTAATTTTTATCAAAACTCATGATTTTTTTTCTCTTTTAATTTGACATTCCTTACCATAAGTATATTGCAATTATGTAAAGAAAAAATACGTATAATCTAAAATACACCACAAAATATTACTGTTTTATTTATTTTTACTATTTATTTTTGACACAATGATTTCTGTTTTATATCTTTCCTAAATGAATAGATATAAAAAATTCAAGATTAAAAAGAAATTACTTAATTAGTTACTTATTAGTTGGGTGATATCTCGGCCATTCATCATTGTGTACATACAGGAAAATATATAACATGTATGATTGTTTTTTATTGCATATAATATTAAATTTTTGATGTTGTTACTACAATTATACTACATAGCATATTTTATTGCATATAGATCTGGGCTTTAGTTATAAGTAGTTTTTGCACTAGTATATTTTCCATATCGATTTTCAACATTCAGAGACTGCAGTTTGTATGATGAAAAAATACAAGTTGTTCTATTTTACTGCTTTTTTTTCCATTCTTATATTATATAGATTATAAAAAGTATCTATTAGCATGTTTAAATAGGCGAGAGAACGAGAACAACCATAAGAAATCTCCTCCCTTTCGTGAAATCACCATAACACCCACATTAGGCGGAAGAAGCGTCAGCTTTTTTCGGTTTTGTGTCAGCCAGTCACTTCCATCAAATCGATCCCAGGGCCAATCCAATCCGGAAGAAAACTGAGACTATTGTCCGCACCATCCCATTTTCTTTTATAAAGCTGACACCGCCAGCCAAGGCTAGGCCGAAAATCTCTATGGCTCTGTATTCAAACTATCGTTTCTTTTTTCAGAGGACATACAGTTTATATTACTACCACCTTAGAAAGTAAATACGTATGGAATAAAAAACCTTCTGTTCCATAAAGACGTAAAAGCACATGTATCAGATTTTTCCGAATATATTTTTATTTTAAGTATTCTTTCTTTATTTTCCTTGTTTATCGTGATTCAATTCCTTTTTCAATACGGTCAGCCTTTGGCTACTTTCAATCCGGAAAGGAAAACTTTTAATAAAATTAAAAAGAAAAATCTACAGAGAGATACACTAATATTTCACTCTGTTGGAGAGCAAATTCGGGGCCTAGGGCCATTAAAGTGATTAAAAACTTTCCCGAACTACCGCGGCTTAATTTCTTCGGAAGGGGAACATCCCTCGACAAAAACACTGGCGTCATTAACAAAAGCATTCTGAGCTGTTTTAGTTTATCTAAAATACCTTCGGATTTCACGTTCGATTACTCACCGGATTGTAAAAATAACCATTAAATAGGTTTTGCAATTTGAAAATAAAACATGACCAATTGCAAATTAAGATGGGCTCGTATGGGCCATACAAAAACATTTGTCCCTTACCTCTCTGTTTTGCTGACATTCCCGGGTCGATTTCGTTTGGGCCGTATTTCTTTCGGTTTTTATCTGAAAAGAAAATTTAATTAATGAAAAACATTACACAATTTACGTCAAATTGTTTAAAACATTCACAAAATCGCTAAAAAAGTGAAATATAAATTTTTAACAGTATCCCTATCATTTGTGAATTTATTTTACTTCACCTTTTTATATTTGAATTTTTTTCTATAAATGTTTTTAATGAATTTACTTAAACTACTGTTAAAAATTCCTGAATCTATTCATCTAGACATGTTCCGAGTTTCCTATTGGAAAATATTTTTTCTAGCAATTCTAAAATGTCAAGTATTAAAGTCATAGGATACTATACTAAAGAAATAGGATTGGTGAATGGACCCTTAGGACCCGACAGCTGCTGGTTGTCATATGTTGTCTGCTGGACCTCCACTTACCGCATTTCCAAAAAGCGCAGGCTTCATTCTGCACGTGAATATTTGGATTGGAAAAAAATTGATAGAGAGTTCTCTTTACAGTTGAGATGAGCATAGGTCTCAATTTTTCAGCGTAAAAATTTTGTGTAGCATGCCCAAGGGAAAGATATGTTCTACGTACGGTTCCTCATATTGCATTTCGTAATGGCTGAATTGTTCTGTTATATGGTAAAGGTTTCTCAAAAAGGTAGTTACAAGAGATTATTGAGAAGTTTGTTTTTTCGGTGAGAGGTTTCTGTTAATTCAGGACAATGCCAGATCGCGTAGAGCCAGTATTGGAATAGAGTGCATACTTTGGCCAATACGGAGTCCAAATTTGAATCCGAGCATGCATATTTAGAACCGACTTAAGTGATGTATGGACGTTGGAACCCTGCTCCTTATACCCTTAAAAAGTTCGAAAAATGTGTGGTGTTTCGTGACCGTTTGTCAATGATTATTCGGAGATTGTGAGATGCGGTCTGGTGTGACGTAGGTTTTAGAAAAATATTTTCTTTATCGTGCCAATGTTTCGATTTTTATTGAGATCATCTTCAGGGCTCAATCTGTTCGTTTTCCGTGTAGATTTGTCATTTCTATCAATCGTGTTGAGAATGCCAGTGAGATATCCAATATATCCTGAAGATGATCTCATTAAAGTTCGAAACGTTGGCAAGATAAAGAAAATGTTTTTCTAAAACCTACGTCACGCCAAACCGCATCTCACGATTTCCGAAAAATAGTTGGAAAAATATTATTCAAGTCGTTATAAATTTTGTTTTTCGAAGGTTGCAAAGGCATTTAACGGGCGTCATACTTGTCAAAGCAGGAAATGTTAGGTACTGAACACAAATAAAAATTACTCAATTAATTTTTTACACAATTGTTTCAAAATGAAAAATTTGCTTCACAGGCGGGATTCGACCACGACCTTCGGCTAAATACGCGGCTTTCTATATGAAGCCACGATTTGCTTACAATAGGAATACAACGAGGAGTCGAAATGGGAAGTTTGCGGCATGGGCGATCAAAGTCGTAGCTCAAGTGGTAGAGCAGCGACGTATTTAGCCGAAAGTCGTGGGTTCGAATCCCGCCTTTTTCATTTCAAAAAAAATTGTGTATAATTAATTGAGTAATTAAAAAGTTAAAAATAAAAACGTTTTATTTAATTTTTAATTTAGTATTTTTTCTTATATTAATAAGTTAATTAAATGATACACTATATATTCATAGAGTTCCGTGTTTAAATTATTAGTTTTAGTCAGTAGGCGGGATCGTCCTTTAATGTATGAAAAGCTGGCCCTCAGAGTGTTTGAATCAAAGAATAGGTATTATTACTCACCCGACCAAGAATAAGCCATGCTAGTTTGTGCCCTAGAAAAGTTGCTCGCTCTATGTCCTCCATAATTGAAGAGGATCATTCAATGGCTCCATATAGAGACAGAGTAGGATTGTCTCCCGATATGAGGGGTATAATTGAACATGTCAATGAGTTTTTGGTTCAACTGCTATTGTACTTTTTCTCGTACATCGTAGATATCTCGATTTGTTTTGTACATCGAGAGTACACATCATATTTATTGGTACGATTGTGTAAATCGACCACCGACCTACTTGAGTGAAGATACGGAAGTAGGAAAGAATGTCATGTTTAACTGGTACAGGGTCGCTAACGGGGTCTGTATCCACTCGCTGGTTTTTGAGTTATTCAGACGCATATAGGCATTGCACTATCTTCAGTGAGAACAGAATTTTGGAGAGTTTGAGGAGTCAAGGCTTAAAGACAGCATACCTTGGGTGGCGGGACGGAGAAGGACGTAGTCTGACTTCGAAAAGACTTAAACTCAATTCTGAACGCATTAACGCACGAAATAAATAAATAAATGATTTTTAAGGTGGCGCGTTAAATTTGTGCTTCAGAGTACCGATATGAATATTTTGACTTATGTTTTTATACTGTTATCTTTATTTTACTGTTAATTTTTTTGAAAATATCACCAATCATCACGGTTTTACATTCTTTAATATGTTAGCTTACTGTTGCAAAAATATATGAAAGTAATTCAGCAGCTTACGGGATTATTCAGCTGCCGGTTTATTGTACTCTAGTAAACTTTTAACTAAAACCATCAGGTTTTCAGTGTGGTACGAAAAAAATGATACTTATTCAAAAAATTCAAATGCGAAATAGTCCTCAAACAGACTTAATTAACCAAAACACATTATTATTCTTAATAAATTAATCTTTTTATGTAAGGTTTTGGTCTAAATGAAAAAGTTAGTGTCACGAGCGGGATTCGAACCCACGACCTTCGTCTGAATACACCGCTGCTCTAACCACTTGAGCTATCGTGACTTCGATCCACTCGGATACCAACTCCCCATCCCAACCTACAACCTTTCGAATTTTTCCCTCCTTTTTGCCATTTTTCAGGGGATTCGAATCCCGCTCGTGACACTAGCTTTTTCATTTCGACCAAAACCTTACACAAAAAGATTAATTAATTAAAAAACTAATTTCGTCAATAGATCACTAAATATAATGAACTATTCTTAATTTGATCTGATTTCTGCTCCGTACTTTTATGAAAAAAATTAATCCCATTTGTATTTGTTCTTTTTGTTCTACATCAGATTTCTCCTTATGATATAATTTTATAATATAGTAATTATAATAATGCTATTCTGAATACAAATCGTAAAATTGGTGCTCCTAAAAATCCTTCTTTTTGTTTGTATTTTCCAATATACAGACAGAAAGAAAACAATCTGATCAGAATGATCAATCATCAGGAACTATCAAAAATTGTATAAATAGAAGTTGAAACTTTATGCTTGTATTACAGAATATACTCTTTTATGGCAAGAAAAACTACATAGTAGATAATCTTTGCGTCAAATACGTATGTTTGGGTATGATTATGGTTAATGATTTTAAATTTGTTTTTAAACTAATATAAAAAAAATCTCAATTCTTCCATACCTGTTTATAACTTTTTTGTGCTGCTGTTTTTGATGTTTCTGTTTTCGTTAAGATTAATTATTTTCAGTAAATTATATCGTATACAGGGTGTCCCAGATCCTTCTGAGGAAACTCAGGGAATCGATTCTACTCTTCGTTTGGAGCAAAAAATCTGAAAAATTTGAAGGGGGGTAGAAATTCAGAAAGTCAGTTATGCATTCGAGAAGAGGGAAAACTTTGAGCATTTCCTCTGAAAAGTTCCTCCTTTGTTGTTAGGTGCTTGCTACAAGAAGAACCATTGCATTTTATTGTATGAAGCTTTCTGGTATGGTTTTTGTGAGATTACAGATGTGTCATTTTTATTTTACAAAGCGAGTTCTAATTGGTTTATTTCTACCCCCCATCAAATTTACCTTAGCTCACGTTTTCGAACATTCAATTGTTATTTTTCAAATCTAATAGAACGTTATTTAAAAACCTGGATATATCAACGTAAAGCATATTAGATGAAGAATGTTTGGAAAAATTTGACAGGTTGTAGGTATTTTTTGTAACGTCAGTAGAACGTGCAATCATGACCAAAATTTTAAATTTTGTAATTTTGACATGTTCCAACTGATATTGGCTAACATTTTACGTCATTCAGATTATAGCAAAGAAGTATCTTACAGCAAATTTAGCGTTCTTTCAAATGTTGTAATTGGATTTGTTGTAGTTTCAACATTTTGAAAGTTGTAAGCGTTTTTATGTGGTAAGATAGTGAAAAGTTGAAAAAACCTAAATTGACGAATATCTTCAAAATAGAGAACTTTCCAAAAATTTTCTCCTGAGCATTTTTTGCTCCAAACGCAGAGTAGAATCGATTCCCTGAGTTTCGTCAGAAGGAACTGGGACACCCTGTAGAAGTAGATACTATGACAAGCCATTTCATAAAGGCCGCCAAAGCGACATAAACAAACAAGAAGGCAGAGTTCCAACGATTGAGGAGACAGACGAAAGGACGGCGGCAGGCCTAAGAGAGAGCCACGCTGGATTTGGAGTTACTCGGTCGCTTGCAACTTTAGAAAGATGATAAAGTAAAAATAAAAGCGTGTGACGTTCTCAAGACAAAAAAACTGTTAGTGAAGAATTCTAGTGGAGTGGTGTTCGTTCAACAAGGTTCGTTACATTATACTATACAACTTGTCCAGGGAAAAGGAAACCAAAAAATAACTTTACACTTACATACTTTCTATCAAGAAAATATTCCCTTTTCCTTACTAAATTAGTTGTAACCATTTATAAGACATATTTGATTCATTATTTGTTATTAATATAAGAACCTTTTATTTTTAACGGGTATCGACTTATTATTTTATTTTATTTTTTATAACAATATTAATCCCACAACGTTATAAATACATAATTATGAAATTCATTTAATTAATCTTTTTATGTAAGGTTTTGGTTGAAATGAAAACGTTATCGTCACGAGCGGGATTCGAACCGAAGGTCGTGGGCTCGAATCCCGCACGTGACGCTAACTTTTTGTTTCAACCAAAACCTTACATAAAAATTGAATTAATTGATTAATTAATTAAACTAATTGAAAGAAGTAATTTGGTCAATCAGACTACCAAATATAATGAATAATTATGAATGTTAAAAAAATTAACAATACGATCACTTATTTAAACTAATATTTAAAAAATCAACCCCAAAACGAATATTAGTGTAATAGTAATAGTATAATATTAGTATTGACAGAGTTGAAAGTTTTGCTCTCCAAAAGGGAAAGTTCGTCGGGTTCACTTCGCTTCTTCCACGGTCGTCGAATCCTCTTTTAGCGTAGTTCAGAATGACTTCCATCCTTCACCCCCTGCCCGGCAGTAATCGTCGAGGTCGGTTACAACTTGCTCAACTTATAATCAAATCTCTCTACCTAAAGTGTATGTCATCTTTATCTGGGGATTAATTTCTTCAGAGTTATCAGATGTTTAACCTACTTTCGAGAGAGTTGAGGTCCTGAGACTTTCGCACAACTTACTCGGCAGGATTTTTCTCCACGCACTGTGGAAATCTTACGGACAAGTTTTCGATATAAAACCCCGTTATCACGCAATTGTTCATTTTCATTCAATAATCTATTTGATTAGTAATACATTCCAAATTTCTAGCGTAACTACTTCAAATATATTATCAGGCAAAATTACAATTATTAAGAAAAACCTACAGACAGATTTTAAACATAATACATAGTTTTTTGTTTTGGGAACTGAGCTTTTGAAAACAGTGGATTGCCATTTGCACTTTTTCTATAAGGAAAATGACCCTTTGTAAAAGATATCTTCGTACAACAAAGGTAATTGACTTAGTGCAATCTGATTAAATGTCCGTATCTGTTACTTTAAAAGAAGCTAAAGCAAAGAAAGGTTTTTGGCGAAGGTTAAAACCTAGCTACTCTGATAGATTTCCTGAAAAACAGAGATATTATTAGTAGGTTTTATTTCGGATTTTGTGTCTTGAAAATCACATAAAGTAAAAGTCTGGCTAGAATTAGTTGTTCAACTGCCTCAAAATTCATGACGCGAATTGATACGAGCACGTCGGAACTTTGCATATTCAGAAACTCTGTATAAGATAGGATTAGCATGAGAATCGGAACGGTTTTAAAACGACGAAGGCACGGGGATGGGCGAATTGGCCCCCAATTTACAGTTGACACAAATTCCATTTTCAATAAAATGTGTAACTAGGAATTGAAAATCAACCCGCGCTGAGCATATACTCAATCACCTCGCGTAATTCACTCGCTTCGACGTACAGAAATATAATTGACGGTCAGGGCTGGAAATTTTTATTTCTACTGGAACGGTAAAACGATCGTGCTCACTACTACATAGATGAAAGCGGATACTGCTGGAAGGAATTTGGAATATTTAAAATTCATAATCCGGTAACCTTTGTTATCAGAAACGTACCTAGTAATTTTCGTAGAATCTGTCGTTTGAAAGCCATTTTGAATATGAGTTTTTAAATTTAATGGTAAACTGATAAAAGCGGCGTATTTAGTCGAAGGTCGTGGGTTTGAATCCCGCTCGTGACACTGACTTTTTTATCTCAACCAAAAAACCTTGCATAAAAAGAATAACTAATTGAAAGATATAATTTTCATATTGATTAAAAACACAAAAAATGAAATTCCTGTTAAAAATTTCAAATAATTTCGCTCAATCAATTGACACAAGGTTTACGATTAAATGTGTGGTGATTAGTGACCGTTAGAAGATTATTATTCAGAAATTGTGGCATGCAGTTTGGTGTGATGTAGGTTTCAGAAAAACATTTTCTTTATCTTGCCAATGTTTCGGTCTTTATTAAGATCTTCTTCAGGGCCTGGGATTTGCAAACATTGTTTAAATTTAACAAAACCATGTAGGATGTGAAAAAAAGTGAATTTACACAATGCAAAAAAATATTGTTTTATATTCAATCAAAGTATTTCTACTCACTCAAAATGTTTGTTTTCTGCGTAAATACTTTGACAGAACATAAAAAAAAAATATTTTTTGCAATGTATAAATTCACTTTTTTCCACATCTTACATGTTTTTGTTAAATTTAAACTATGTACAAACAAGTGACACACACAAAAGCATTGATTTGGATTTTCAGCCGCTGAAATAATTGACAGACGATTACCCAGAAGAAGAATAATTACCCAGAAACAAATCCGGTGATATAAAATAAATCGATTGAAAGGTTTTTCTTTATTTTATCCATATTTTCCTCATTTGTAATGACATGTAGACAAAATATTGCTCATGTAGATGAAAAGCCTGAAAATGCATCTTTCCAACGGGCGTGCCACAGTGAACGTTAGATAAAATGCATAGAAATTATGAATTTTTAGGTAGAATACCCGTCACAGTAGAAAAAAATGCCCTTAACTGTTCGAGTCCAAAAGTCTAAAAATTTATTACAGAATTCGTATTCAATGGTTTTGAAGGGTAATTAAACGAAATCCGAATCGATTTATTTAATTATTTTTTGCTAATTCTTTTGAAACTATTAAATTTGAAAAAAATCTTCTAATTACAACTCAGGAGATCCGGCAGATTTGGTCGCCTTATCTTTGGGTACATTTTTTTAGCTTTACTTTTCTTAACTGTTTGAATAGTTGATTTTAAATAAAAATTTAAAAGTTATAAATGTTATATATATATATATATATATATATCACTCAGATAGCTCATTTTGCAAAAGAACAAAATTATTGTCCCGCTAGTTGGGTTTTAATGAAGAAAATATTATAAAAATAATTACCTACTTTATTAATAACGTACTATATTTTCGGTTTTATTGCTTTTTATGGATGTAATCATATTAAATACGATACGGCTTATTATTTTCTTATCTTAGTTAAAACACAAGTGAACAATTGTACAATATAATAATTAGCAATCTTCAAATACAGTAAAACATGTTTTATAAGTTCAAATTTTTTTCTTTGTTCAAAGAACCCAAAATATGATATTGAACACCCGTATTACATAAATAAATAAATTTTGACATAGAATCGCCAAAAAATTCCATTGAAATCTGTGATTCCACGACCGTAACATCCCATAGTATTTCCTTTCATAATCACTCTACATATCCCTAAAATTAAAACCTTATGGCTAATTATATAGAAAATTCAAAATATTTGAACAAAGGTGAACTAATGGTTAAATAAAATCGGAAAGAACAAAAGGAGAAGTACATTATCTATGAAAAATGGCAAAAAGGAGGGAAAATTCAAAAGGTGTGGTTGAGATGGGAGGTTGGTGTCCGAATGGATCGAGGTCACGATAGCTCATGTGGTAGAGCAGCGGCGTATCAAGCCGAAGATCGTGGGTTCGAATCCCGCTCGTGCCTTAGACTTTTTTATCTCAACTGAAAACCTTAATTAATTGTAAGATATTAATTGGTATTATTAATTGGTCAAGCGGACCACGAAACTAGAGAATTATTTTGGATTAAAATTTGTAATATTTTGGAACATGATGTTGATTTACTTCCACATTCTTTGTCCATACAAATATACTTGTTGTTAATTGCCTTTGTCATGACTAAATATACTTAAAAATTGCTTTTCATGATATTTTACACTGCGTATCCAAAGCACTGTAAGGGTTAGTTGTGTAACTTAAGGCTAATGTAAATACATTTTACTAATGTTTCAATCCACTTTGCTTTACAGAGTTTCCTTTCAACGCTATTGCTATTAAATTTTTTGTAAACAAGACCTAATTTATTGCAGGTTCATTAATTTTATATTTGACATATTAATTTGTTTTAATGAAAGGTTATTGTTAATAGACATGGCTATTTCCAAACTTGGAATTGGTTGTTTTATAAATAATGCCGTTAATACCGAGAGCTATTAAACGCGAAGTGAGTTGGAAATTATTTTATTTTAAAGTTCAATTCAACCCATAAACCCAGCCGTCAGCTGTTTAGAACATTCGTGTTACCGTGATCAGATTGGGGAGTGAATTATCCGACGGATTAACAATAAAAGGCTATTGTTTTTTAAAATAAACGAGCTAAATGTGCCACATAGCTAAAGGTAAAAAAGGTAAAAAGGTTATGTATTACAATAACCCGACTGTGCAGGATTCGTTTTTGCCCGAACGGTATGCTAGAATGAATTTCCGGGTGAGAGTCACGCGTCGTGGGAGAGGATTTGCTGAAAGTGGCGCCCGAAAAAGTGCCGGAGGGAGGGCCGTTCTACTTAACGAACCGTAACAATTTTTAGTTCAGTAATTCCGACCTTCAAATAATCTGGAATTTATTCAGGGCGGGTCCAATTATAAAGGATAACTGTGACGGAACTTGAACAGGCCGAGGGGCAACAAGTGGCCGACAGATCACACACGCTTTTCCCCCGGGTTAAGAGTGAATTGACTCTAGGCCTCCTCTAAAATACTTATCCAAACACGTACTGGTTTTACCTTTATGCTTGGGCCTGTGCGATTCCGGCCTCGGAACAGCTGAAACAAAAAACGAAAAACATTACTGCATAAATAAACATTTGTTTCAATAATAAATCAATGATAGCAATTTAAAACATATCAGATTGTATTTCACATTGTATAATTATATGTTTTTAAGAGATAAGAGAACCTGAAATGCCAGTTGCGGTATAAATTTTCGATGGTGAAGACTATATCTACGATACAGTTGGCTTCACCAATTTACTCAATAACTTGATATGAACAAAAAATTTGTAGAAAGACCAAACATATCGAATAATATGAAAAAATACATTTTCTAGAATAACAATGTAAAATAATAATAGTTGATTAGTTTAATATTTAATCATTAGTTTAAAACTGTACTTAATGTCTGGCAGTTAAAAGTGGTTTTTCCGTCACAAAATTGCTAGTTTTAGTTTAATATTATTATTGTTATATTATTACATAGGAATCGGGCAAAGTAGATATAAACTGTAACCCGAATTTACGTGATTCTTTTTAAATCTCTTACTATTCTATTATATGTATTATTGCAAAAAATAATTTTTTTATGACACTATGATGGTGTTTTACTCAGCACATAACTTTCTGTGAATTATCCGATCATCAGGCATTTTCATTTCATTATGTGCATTGACATAGTTTTACGTGTTATTTGTTGTTACAAAATATAAAGATGTATGCCATTTCAACGTGTTCCTTAATTTGAAAACAAACTGTTAACAAATAGCTGGTATAGTTTTAGGAGTTGGTTCCAATTTATTATCTCCGATTGGCCTGTCGCCAGACGCGTGTCGTCCAAAATATTGGCCATCTGTTGCCCATTTGTGATGTATGTCTCAGAGCGGAATTTTATTCCACTATTTCATCTACCAAATTTACTGACTAAGATCTCTCTCACTCTCTCTCCCTCTCTCTCTCTCTCTCTCTCTCTCTCTCTCTCTCTCTCTCTCTCTCTCTCTCTCTGAAAATGACGTTTAGATAAAAATCCCTGTCGATATATCGTGTTCTTGCGGATCAGCCATTCATGTTCGGACTCAGATAGTTTAATGTTATGCATTCTGTAATAAATTAATGACATGTTACACCATTTTAATAAAAAGTGTTTAACAAACGTGCTTTCTTATTTCTTTACAGTTCAATTTATTATGTTTGAGAAAAACAATACTTAATAATTTATACTGTATGTTTGTAAACGTTAAGGTCGATAATTTTGAGATTCCTGTTGAATAGAGGTAAAGCATAATTGAATGAGAATAAAAGTTCTTTTTCCCTATTTCTCATTTCTTCTTTTCTATTTTTCAAGTAGTATTTCACACAATAGTACTTTTTTTGTTTTGGAATGTTTTTTCCAATTACAGAATGTTTTGTTGAGAGGGTAGGCACTCGTTCTTTTGTTTCATTGGATGTATGGATGTATATCATCTTTATTGTATTACTTCTACGTCAATTTCAGAAGGTGTTATATTCTTGTAAGCACAAGTGATTGGGTGACCTTTCCCAATTTTTCATTCCAATTTTGTTATCAAATTTAAAATTTTCGTGTAGATTTTATTAACTTCGAAATCTGAAAACCAAAAAAATGTATAAACATTTTGGTGGGACAAACACTGTCGCCCAAAAAAAAAAAATGGGAATTTTAATAACGAGAAAACACACAAGTTGAAACTTTTTTGTCGAAAAAACAGAACAGAAATTGTTTATTTTTGTTAATTTTATTACAACTTGCATGTTCAACGAGAATCGAGCTAAATAATTTACTTAGCAAAAAATTTGATAATGATTGACTTCAAAATTAATTTATTATTATTTTAATTGGAAAACATAAACATTTAAAGGCCGAGTGTTTAGGACGTCCTACTCTTATTGCGAGCAGTCTCGGGTTCGAATCCCGCATAGCCCATAGGTTTTAAATGTGAATAATCTAGAGAAAGTAATATAATGCAGTTTGATATCGAACGGTTATTTAGAAGTTCAGCTCTCCTGTACGACAGTACTTACTTTACTTTTTGCCTTACATTAATTTTTTTAAATTTCAAGTGCTTGTTCTGCTAAAGTATTATTTTATATCTCCAATCGTTTAGTTCTTGTGATTTTTGTAAGTCAGTCTTAGTTTAGTGTATTTTAATGTTTTGTATTTCCGCAACGTTGGCACGTTTCAGTACTTATGTAGTGTTCATTGTAAAACCAACGTTCGATAGATTAGGTTCTTTTCAAGTTTCTCCGAGCTTTTTTTTAAATCATGAAAAGTTGTAAGGAAAACAAGAAAAAAAGAAACCAAATGCGTGTGCCGTTAAATTAAGTATTGGGTTATTTTTGAAATAAATGAGAGAAACTTAAATTATCATTTCCGACAAATTATTATGTTATTCAAGATGATATAAAGTTTTTTTATCATAATAAAACTTTAAAAGAATTGCAGAATTGGTGGTTACGTACTTTTTTAATATGTATAAATTTGATTGTTTTCATTGAATTAAAGAAAATTCAAATTCGGCAAAACAAATTGTCTATATTTTTATAATAATTTTTCACGTTTATTCTTGGTTATTTTGTAGTTTATAGGAATAATTTTTCCCCCATTAACTTGGCAGTATCATTTTCAATGGAAAACAATACGAATGGTAACTATTCTCGGGCTTTTGCTTTAATCTCGTTTGTGTCTAGGTTTATGGGATTCAATGACGTCATTATATTGTTCAAACTCTTCCCAACGTCTACATTATTTATTCAAGGGGGGGATGTTTCGCTGCAGCTTGAAATATCGGATGTCAACTTTTAAAGATTTCTAAAGTTTTCATGTTGTTGGACTGTAACGAATCAGTGCTTCTTCAAAAACTGGAATATCCTCAGGTGCTGAGTTTAACGGTTTCCTCGTTTCACTTTCAAGATCATGTTAAATGCGATGTAACTTTGTACACTTTGTTAAAACTTGTTTGATACGTAGACAATGATCAAATACTTCCGTTATCTTAGAAAATACCACGATTTTAAAAAGCTTTCATTTTTCCGTTAACATTATGTCACCATATTTGTAAAAATATTAATGGCAAAATTAATTGAATAAAATTGCTCTAGGCTAATTATTATATATATATATATATATGTAAAAGATGTTCGTCGAACCTCTTTTAAATTTATATTTATATTTTACCGCGCATCTATAGCGCATGCCCGTGCTAGGCTGGAATAGCAGACAATAGGAGAAGGTTAAGATGGTTAGAAGGTTTTAAGAAGTGGTGTTTTTGATAGACTTGATAATAAAATATAAAGTGAAATAAAATCTTGTAAATGTCGTTTCTTTGATTACAGAGAAACTCAGTCTAGTTTTTGTTTCACCCCAGAGCCAAACTAAAAACGCATTATAAAACGACATTTTCGTACAGCTATTCTTGAAATAAAAATGGAAAAATTACGATTTGAATTTGTAGTAAAAGCGATGGATGATCCAAAAACAAATTCAATTTGTATAACCTCAATTGCTACAGCCGATAAACATGCTTTCATCATCCCAGATCAATTCCAACATGTAAAACTACATGAAGCTATTATAAAAACTCAAGCTTATCAGAGAGTAAAGACTACATTACAAAAGAGGCATGATAAAAGACAGGTTTGGATTTTAATGTCAGAGGAAATAAAAAATGCGTACATGGATGAAGACGGGAATATGCAGTTTAAAGGATATCTGCTAGAAGAAATTACACCACCAATGCAGCAGGCCCAAACCGCTGGAATTTCAGAACAGGCATTAACGAGAATTCTAGAAAATTTTACTGGTAAGAATATTCCGGGACATCATAATCTTAAAAAATTATCTGAAAAATTTGTACTCGAAAAATTCACTACAAAAAATTCAAATGTAACCCAATGGATTACTACTTTTGAAAGCGAGTGTCAGCGTCTGGAAATAAAAGAAGATATCGAAAAAATTGAAATCCTTAGATTATTTCTGGATGAATCTTGTCTTGACTGGTACAGCTCCATGCTCATTAAACATACAATACAATCAGAATGGTCAATATGGAAATATGATTTTGGTGAAACTTACGTTATCAAAGGTTGGACGAAAATCAGGTACGCTATGTCATTTAAATATATACAGGGCTCATTACTCCAATACGCTTTAAAAAAAGAAAGACTTTTATTAGAGATAAATAAATCAATAGATAAGACCACTCTGATTGATCTCATTGCAACAGGTCTGCCAAATTTTATTTCTGATAAAATTGATAGAGATAGTTTGAAAGAAACTAATGATTTATTTAAAAACATAAGAGGATTGGAACATTTATTAAATAAAAAGAATTCTGAAAATAAGATTGTTAAAAGCTTTGAAAATAAAGTTAAAGAAAAAATTGAAAAAAAGAAACCATGTAGAATTTGTGAAAATGAAAATAGAGGCATTCGTTACCACCCTGAATCTTTATGTTGGTTTGAAAAAAAAAGTAATGTTAGGCCAAAGGTAGATCAAATAAAAAACATTAATAATTCTGAATTAGAGGTAGACTTTAATGAAATGGATCCAAAAAACTAGTAGTTCCGCCATTAATCAAAATTAAATTATTGCTAAATGATAAGGTAGAAATTTTGGGAATTTATGATTCAGGTTCGAATGTTTCTTTGATAAATTCAAAATTATTATACTTAAAAAAATAAACCAATTAGAACAATAAAACAAAATATAAGGTTGAAGACGATTAATGGCGTGAAACAAACAATAGGAATGGTAACTCTAACAATTAAGATTCTTGATATTGAAAAAAATATTAATGTTTTGGTTGTAGAGGAAGAAAATTTTGATTATGATTTTTTGGTTGGACTGGATTGCATAAAAGAATTTCATCTGATTCAGAATGAGAAATTGGAAATAACACAGAAAATTTACAAAAGCACAACAGAAGACACTAAAGAAATAATTCCTGGCTTTTCAGGTAAGAACGAAGAAAAACAAAATTTACGAAATATTAATAAAGATATTGATATTAATGATGAATACACAATAAACTTTAATG